TGCGCTCCAACCTGGCGACAGAGCAAGAGTCCGTATCAAAAAAAAAAAAAAAAAAAAAAAAAAAATTTTTTTTTTAAGAGACGGGGTCTTGCCATATTGCCCAAGTTGGTCTTGAACGCTTGGCCTTAAACGATCCTCCTGCCTTGGCCTCCCAAAGTGTGGGGATTACAGGCACGAGCCACCGCACCTGGTCTCACAATTCTTGCAGCTAAAGCTAAGGTCAACAGACATTCGAAAACTTAATCAAAGATACAGAGAAGGCTTATGAGTCCTTATTTAAAAATCTGTGGTGAGGGAAAGAATAAAGATGTAGTTAGCTGACCAGGCTATGGAGTCAGGCTGCCTAGGTTTGAACCCTAACTCTGACACCTACTAGCTGTCTAGCTGCAGGCAAGTGACATATCTGTGCCTGTTTCCTCGACTGTAAAATATACAGCTTTTTTCTTTTTTTTTGAGACAGAGTCTTGCTCTGCTGCCTAGGCTGGAATGCAGTGGTATGATCTTGACTCACTGCAACCCCTGCCTGGGATTATAGGCACGCACCACCACATCCTGCTAATTTTGGTAATTTTTAGTAGACATGGGCTTTTGCCACTTTGCCAGGCTGGTCTCGAACTCCTGCCATCAAGTGTTCCGCCCACCTCAGTCTCCCAAAGTGCTGGGATTAAAGGCATGAGCCACCACACCCAGCCAACATGGCACTGTTGGGAGGATTCAAGGAGACAATGAATGAAAAGCGGTTGGCACAGGGTCCAGGCTTCTAGGTGCTTAATAGTTAGTAGCTGCTGAGCCTATTATTCTCATTACAGCCAGTATTAATTTACTTCAAGTCTTATACCAAGAGGGTATTAGGTCTTAGAAAATCCTTGATAGGATAAGATCAGCCCCTAAGATCCAGAGTTAGCAATAAATAATACAACTCATGATACCAAGATAAAGGGTTCTAGCCCCATGGGGAAGAACATGCAGCAACCTGTTTCACAGTCGCAGAAAACATCTGTCCACTTGAGCAACCTTCACTTGGTCAAAAGACAGATGGGGAGACAATAGTGCAGATGTACAAGGAAAATCCATTCACAGTAAATATCCACAATATTTCCTGTATACAGTATTATGAAGGGCAGCACTCGTTATGGAGAACTGTGTGAGTTTATTAAACAGGTGAGTGTGGTGCATTTAGAAGACTTCAGACTATTTTAAAAGCCTAATTGGTCTTAAACATTTTTTCTTAATCTATTTCTGGGTCTTTTCCCTTGTTACTTATTACCCTTAGTTAAGTGGAATCTATAGAATACTGCTGTTATAGAATGACTGACTCACAAACAACCATATTCCTTCCCCACACCTTCATCCTACTCCTACTAAAAGAGGAGTGTACCCTTGGAATTAAAAGTGAGGGTGGGCCAAAATGGTGGCTCACGCCTATAATCCCAGCACTCTGGGAGGCCGAGGTGGGTGGATCACCTGAGGTCAGGAGTTTGAGACCAGCCTGGCCAACATGGTGAAACCCCGTCTCTACTAAAAACACAAAATTAGCCGGGCGTGGTGGTGGGCACCTTTAATCCCAGCAACTCGGGAGGCTGAGGCAGGAGAATCTCTTGAACCCAGGAGGCGGAGACTGCAGTGAGCTGAGAATGCGCCATTGCATTTTAGTCTGGGTGATGAGCGAAATTCTGTATCCAAAAAAAAAAAAAAAAAAAAAAAGTGAGGGTGACACTCTTGCTTGTCATTTATATCTAGCTGGGCAAACCACTTCTCTCCCACTGAAGTCACTCTCCTCATCTGTAAAACAAGGATAACAACACTATCTGTCTCCTCAAAGGGTTGTAATGAGGATTAAATGAGATAAAGCATGTTGAACACTTAGCACAGTGAGTGATATGGAAGCCCTAGATAAATTTGCATATTATCATCATTTTCCTTATTATTACATGTGCTACCAGACTGAAATGGCTTAAGGCATGATTTTCCCATGGTTTACAAAGCTCCTTGGCAACCTCGGAAGGCTTTCTGATGGTCAGTGAAAGGAGCTATTCAAGAGCTTTTCTGTTCTTAATGTCAACTTGTAAATTCTAAATCCACAAGATAATTGAAACATGTTTTCAATGTCTCCCTAAATGATGGGGTACTTTGTAAAGATTAAAGATAATAACTGCGTACTCTCTTGTAGACAGAACTCCACACTAAAGCTTCTCTCTGGGGCTCACCGAACAGGTACACTCTTCCACATGGCCACTGAATGGCTGCCAGTCCTGTCAATCTAGATTTCCATAACAAAGGATATGTCAAGTGGGCCTTGTGTCATGGCTTCCCTTTCACCCACAAACCTAAGTCAGACACCAATGGCAAGCGATCTTACAGGTACACTCGTTTTTTTGTCAAACGGCAAGGTAAAACTTATCTGGGGCAAATTCGAGAAGGCTGCCTACTGTTGAAATGAGAGAGAGAAGCAAACTTTTGACAAGGCTGCATTTCAAAATCTAATACAATTTCAATGGATAAATACAATAGGCTATTAAAAAAAAAATTTAGGCCAGGCAAGCAGTGACTCATGCCTGTAATCCCAGCACTTTTGGAGGCCAAGGCAGGTGGATCACAAGGTCAGGAGATCGAGACCATCCTGGGTAACATAGTGAAACCCCGTCTCTACTAAAAATACAAAAATTAGCTAGTATAGTGGTGCGTGCCTATAGTCCTAGCTACTGGAGGCTGAGGCAGGAGAATCGCTTGAATATGGGAGGCGGAGTTTGCAGTGAGCTGAGATCGAGCCACTGCATTCCAGCCTGGTGACAGGGTGAGACTACGTCTCAAAACAAAACAAAATTTACTTGGGCATGATGGAATGAGCCTGTAGTCCTGGCTACTCAGAAGGCTGAGGCAGGAGGATTGCTAAAGCCTAGCAGTTTGAGGCTGCAATGAGCTATTATCATGCTACTATACCCCAGCCTGGGCAACAGAGCAAGACCTCATCTCTTAAAACAAAACAAAACTTGTTCTCTATGCAGTAAAAAAAAAAAAAGAAAAGAAAAGAAAAGAAAAAACAAACAAAACAAAACAGCTGGTTGTGGTGGCTCATGCCTGTAATCCCAGTACTTTGGGAGGCCAAGGTAGGCAGATCGTCTGAGGTCAGGAGTTCGAGACCAGCCTGACTAACATGGAGAAACTCTATCCTTACTAAAAATACAAAATTAGCAGGCCCATGCCTATAATCCCAGCTACTCAGGAGGCTGAGGCAGGAGAATTGCTTAAACCCAGGAGTTGGAGGTTGCAGTGAGCCAAGGTCACGCCATTGCACTCCAGCCTGGGGTGACAGCAAAATTTCATCTCAAAAAAAAAAAAAAAAAAGAAAAAAAAAAAAAAAAATCCAAATTGAATGAAACCTACAAATAGAGAAACTCTTTTTTTTTTTTTTTTTTTTTTGAGACAGACTCTTGCTCTGTTACCCAGGCTGGAGTATAGTGGCACGATCTCGGCTCACTACAATCTCCACCTCCCAGGTTCAAACAATTCTCCTGTCTCTGCCACCCGTGTAGCCGGGATTATAAGTGCACACCACCATGCCTAGCTCATTTTTGCATTTTTTTAGTAGAGATGGGGTTTCACCATGTTGGTCAGGCTGGCTTCAAACTCCTGACCTTGTGATCAGCCCAGCTCGGCCTCCCAAAGTGCTGGGATAACAGGTGTGAGCCACCACGCCCAGCAGGGCAACACTTTAATAACCTGTATAACACCTGAAGTTTATGTCATTTTTATATTCATATAGAAACATGCATACTCCAAAGAATGAGTATGCAAATACAAGAGAATACCTTTGTAACATCTTTAGGACTGAGGCACGTGGAAAGTGCTGCTTAATAAGTGACATAAAGTGGATGGCAAAACCTCCCTACGTGAAAAAATATCTTTTATATTGCACAAGCACTTTTATAAACTAAAAACACCATTCTTTCAGTGTTTCTGTCTATTACAACGATTTCCCATCAGGAACTGTAAAGCATCTTTATGGAATGTCACAAAAATTCCTTGTCACCCAAATTTTAGAAAAATAAAATAGATTTTATTTTCTAAGACGTGTCAAAGAGCACCTTTTAAAAAGAGAATGAAAGAAGTAGGGGCAATGGAAAATAATTAGATGGTGTTAACTTCAAAAAGTTCGGCAACTACTGCTTCTCTGGAATAGTTACCACTTGATTCAAACAAACAAAAAAAACAAAACAAAACCCTAGATTTCTCCCCCCGCTTTTTTTTTTTTTTTTTTTTTTTTT